GTGTGGGATAGTTCAAAAACTCATCGATAACCTCTGAAAGCGCCTACAGCAATATAATTTCAAAAATAAGTGTTGCACGTGTACCGTTAAAAATTAATTTTTGTTTGGGGACAGGGAACCTGTTAAGTATGACTATTTGTTTCTTTGAGTGTGGCATATAAGGCATCCAGGACTGTCTGCATTTGTATGCAAGCACAAACATGCATACATATGTATTTACGCTAGTTTGTAGGCAAAGCTGTACAGTGGTAAGGGCAGCGGTTTCGGTACAGCTCCGATTTTCTACCATTTTCTTTTTGACAAAGTTTGGTTGTCCCTGACGACGGAGTTTTTGTATGAAACAATGGGTGTACTGTACATACATATTTACATACAAAGATGTGTGTAGACAAATTTACAAACATAATGAAAATTATTCCTTCAACTTTGTTTACATGAACACAAAATTACATACATATGTGAATATGTAAGCATTATGCGTATGGTTTTTTAAAATCTGTAAAGTAATCCAAAGTAAATAAATACATATATATAAAAATATAACTTAAAAAACATATATTAATTATAATTATATTAATTAAATATTTAAGTAATAATATAAATACGAATTAATTATACATTTCAACAGATTTAATGGAATTCATCATTAAATAGATCAAATTGCACTTATGTACATACATATGTTCATACATAGCTTTGTTATCAAATATATGGAGAATATCCATAGCCGTTTGCACGTTGTAAATATGCATAAAATTAACATCATGTATATATACTTATTAAATAAAATTACCTACCGAAGTTATTTTTTACAATTTTGTTAAAGGTAGTGACGAAGAGGATGACGATATCCTAATTAAGGTGATAAAAAGGCGATGGCGGAACAGCTACCAAAATGACAGAGCGGGTTATCACCGCATTGATTAATTTAAAATCTACATTTTTATGTTGGCCATCTAGAGAAGAAAAGCGAAAGATTGTCATTGGCTATGTTGTCGGTACTGAAATCAGATTAGCAGAGTCTCCTTCAAAAGATCACGAGCTATACTTCTCTCACAAAAAACAGTATGCCATAAAAATGCAAGGTGTATGTGACTATGCACTAAGAATTAGACAATCGACAATAGGAAAGCGAGGAAGCGAACATGATGCTAAAATTTTTGCGGAATCTGCAATAGGCAAAAATCCACCAAATTATTTTTGTCATCGATTACACCTTTTCGACAAAACAGCACTGTGCAGTCAAAGGAAGTGAGAGATACATTCAATCAATATTGCTCTAAATATAAAGTACGTATAGAAAATTGTTTTGGGAAATTAAAAGAAAAATTTCGCAGTTCTAAAGAAGTGCGGTTCGGATTAACAAACGAAACTAATTATAAAAGTTGTTGTAGATGGATTTTGGCATGTTGTATCCTTCACATCATGTTGCTGCAATTTAAACGAAAATTCTAGCTTAGAAAGTCAAGAAGAAACAGACTTCCCACAATAAATTTATGAACAATACGACCTAAAACAAGCTCTATCACATTTTGTAAACAATAAAGATATAATTATGTAATTTTATTTAGTATATACATATGCATAGTTTTATTTTTTTAATTTTTAATTCCTCCATTGCTATTCGCTCCTTCATTTCAAGCTCTCTTAAAGCCAATTTTTTATTTTTTTCATTTTAATTTCTAGTGTTCTTATTCTCTCTTCTGAACTGTATTCTCTTTCAAATACAAATTTTTCGTATTGTAAATCAAATTCCTTTTCTTTTAAAGGTAGCTCCCTATCTTTAATTTTTGATTCTATCACTAACTTTTGTTGCTTCACCTTAATTAAACCTGTGTGCATAGTAAGCACATYGGCAAGACCTGCCCGCAAATAAATGAAAAATAAATACCCTTCCGATTTATTATGTTGCATGTAGATTCTGGACCGACTTCTTGCAAAATATCTGCAGGTGTGGTAGCAGAGGTCGTTGAACCGGCGTCGAGATCATCTGTGGTGGACGTCGAGTTGTTTTCTAAGACTTCTGTATCCAAAACAAATGCATTGGATTGAAACTCTTTATAGCCAAACATTATATATCTTCCAAATCGTAGAWAAAATTACAAGTTCTCAAAATTATACCTAAGAATATAATTTATTATACTTTTATACCAAACAATTTATTTTACAAATACTTTCTGTTGATTCGCCCTGCTCCCGTCGAATTCTGTTAAGTATAGAATTATCACAAGTACTTTGCCTTTAGCCTCACTAAATACCAATCCAACCGCAGATTTTGTGTCTTTAAAATTTTTTTATAATACACCTGTGCTGTCGGCTTTTCAAGCGGACGGTTGTCGCATGTATGTAATTAATTTCTGTTGCTCCTCATTGCTCCATTTCTTGTACGGTACTTTGCGTATATGTTTTGGTTTGGTCTAAAACGTATAGTTTGGTATTATTTTATTTACATTTACACTTATATTACATATTTTAATTTTACTTACAATTTCGCTTTCATCAGATTCCATTTTCAAATGTAAATAAAGTCAGCTGATCAGAGATGCCAGTTTGCCACAATTAATAAACAAATTGTTAAAAAACTGTTTTTCACGTACAAAAAAAAAAAATATATACCACGTCAGTAAATATGCGAATATTGCCACCTGGGAAATTTAACATGCTAGATAACATTTAACTGTGAACAGCATAATTAAATTTATACATGAAAATTTGATCAAATATACTCCAAAGGTATCGCGAGTTCTCAAAAGTAATTATTATAAAATTCCGATAATTTTAAGTGGGGATTTTAACATAAATTTTGCATCAGACTGATTGAGTTTCTGGGTACAACATTTAATTTGAAAATGTGTAACTTAAATCATAGAGAAGGTGCAGGTTCGACAGCGAACATTTGTTATATTTATAGTAAGGAATTCCCCTCACAGCCACAGAATTAACGCTATGAAACATTTTTAACAGTGCTCCACATACTCAAAAAAGAAAATGTAGATAAATAAATACATGTATTTTCGGCGTATGATGACGTGGCATATATGCCCAAGCAGAGAATATGAAGAGATACATATATATATGTAGGCATGCCCCTTATTTTCAAGCATAAATTTTTTGCTTTCACCCAGGAAATCGCTTGCATGTATAAATAATTATTATATGAGTATAATTTTGTATGAATGCATACACAATAATATTTATAGTCAATTGGGACTTTCATATTTAATAATTTATTTGGTTTTTACATAATATAGTAAACCGTAAATATTTTTATATTATATTTCWTACTAATAGATTTATCACAATAATATATAGGGGAAGGTGCGGAATGTTGGGCATGGTTTTGATTTCGGTTAAAGAGTCACATAAAAGTTATTTTTTGTGAAAGTTCCAAAGCATGGATTTGTAGTGCGAGTCGTAACCTTCCTTTTGATAACATTGGTTTGATAAAATTCTACAAAAATTTAAAAGTTATAGCCATTTGAAAAAAGGTGGAGAATGTCGGGCCAGTCTGTAAATCGATTAAAACATGATAGTTGCCGATGAAAAACGTTTATTTATCAATGGAAATGGCACGATTCCGATTACTTTGGCGGAGGGGTAAAAAAACCGAATTTCCATAGAAATGGGGTATGTACGTATAGGGGAGCTTCTCCAGAGTAGGACTATCCAAAAATTAGATAAAAATTACTAATATTTTTTAAAATATTCACGTTTAAAATTTCAAAAATTTGCACTGCGAACACATGTTATTTCACTATGTTTCACTAATATTTTTCAAGTTTTTTTTATGTATATTTAAATATTCCCTCTAGGCTTTAAAATAAGCTCACATTTCACATTTATTTTGTAATTTTTCTGCTAAATTTAGTCATTTAAAAATTACTTATCAAATTTATGGCTGACAAGTTTAGAGTGTTTATATTTACGAGGAAAACCAGCCTTGCCACACCTTCAAAACCAAAAGTGAAAGATTTTACAGCGTTTCACAGCGTTTCACAGCGTTTCCTGTGTTTGTACTTTCGAGTGTTTCTTTTTTCTCTATTAACTATAAAAAACTATAAAGAAGAAATTTATTAAGCAAATAAGTAATATTATATACATGTATTAGTAATATTATATAATAATATTACGTAATAAAGTGTAAAGTATACAGAACAGTACGAAAACTCAAATATTGTTTCAATATGAGTGCATGATCACCAACAAATATAACCACTTTATATCCGAAACTCAAATTTTAAATATAAAAATATATGTATCGTCACCGAAAATACAAGGCAATGTAAAATGAAAAATAAATGAAATGAAAAATAAATGGATTCCCACACTTTGTGCATACAGGGGGAATGGAATCTCTTGAAGGGATTAATTGAACGTCTTCAAAAAATTTTAATGACTGCTCATTCGTTTGGACTAGATGTCCAAAAAATAACTCTGGCCGAGCGAATACCCGGGGTGGCTCAAGTACTTTCGTGCAGTACTC